ACCAAAAATGGTTTTTGTCTCCTTTCAAACGCACGCTTTAGGTTACAAGAGATGAACTCAATTGCTGAAAGAACGTCAAGGTTTTATCTGTCACTCTTGTCAATAATTTATCGGTAAGGAAGATTCCTAGAAAATCGCTTGTAGCCAAGTTTTGAACCATTTCCAATTGCCAGTTCTCCCATAAGAAGTGTCATCCACCTGATTTCGACAGACGACATCAAAGAATGACAGAAAATACAACGAATTTAAATGACGACTTTTGGTGGGAGTCCGCCCCTGTGCCTGTAGTTGTGGGATCCCAAGACGCAAGGTCTAGAAGGTCTTCTTCGGTCTTCTTCCTCCGTCAGTTTATTGTTGTTTTGACTGACCGTTCTCATTTCCATATAACTCGAGAGCCGGTCACTTAATTAAAAAAATCTCAAAAAGAGAGAAAGAGAAGAGTTATATGGGTCGTCATTCCTTTTCGAAAGTATTTTGACTGATTTAGTGCTCACGATCGGGGATTGCGAAATACCCTTGGGCCTTTCGGTTCTTAACACCTACGCTGCGTTTTGGAAACGTACAAAACAACAAAATAAAATCATAAATAAAACAGAGAGCAAATATTATTAACGAAAAATTAATAAATACTATAAATGATAAAACTCTCTATTAAAGATATAATTATTAGTTAATATTAAAGATATAATTATTAAGTTTATATTTAGTTCTTACTGGATTAATATAAGCTTATATCGTCTTGGTTCCGCTAGAAATAAATAGAGTCATAACCCCCTTGATAGAGTCATATCATTATTAACGAGAATTAAGATGCCATAATTCTTTTACCTTTTATACGACCAATAAATGAAAATCAACAACCATGTTTGGGCAATAATTTAAAATGAAAATGGACACTGATTTAACTACTCTAATAATTTGTTTACATCATTAATGTCACAGTATAATAAATTTACAAGAGAGCAGTTTCATCGACATCCCCTGCTACAAAATTTTTCTGTCCTAGTCACTGAAGGTATTTATATTAGGTTTGTTCCAACCAGCATTTCGGGATCGTTTCGAAATCGTACTCGAATCGGTTTTCTTGCAGTTTGTTAGCATGCGCGCACTTCGAATAGTTTCGTGACGGTGCAAAAAGTATCAACGTTGGAACGCTTTGTGGATTGTTTTCGGGACTCTCAAAAGTGTCAAGCGTGCGTGTATCGATCGGTTTTTTGTTTTGTTTAGAATTTCAAAACATAACCCTATTATTTTTGTTTGCAATTTGCAATAATAATAATTATTATTCTTGACATGGAGAATCAGAATCCAGTAATTGTTGGTAAGTGTTGTTTCAACTGTATACTCACTAACTCACTTACCTAACCTCTCTTTATGATCCTGTTATGCGTAGTTTCCTGTTATTTCATTGCAGTGGTAGAATCTTTGAACATTATTTTATAAATAAAAAATTAATTAAAATTTCCGAAAGATTTACTCCACACAAACTCACAAGCAAAAGTATAACGCACACGTATTCGAATTTGTAAAAAATAACCAAGACAGAAGCATCAGCCGGACGCCGGACCAGAATCAGCTGTTTAAAATCGATAATCCCTGCCAATATGCTTTAAGGCGCAAGTCAACCCAAACAGTTCTCAATTTGGACCATGTACCAAAATTACCGTTCTGAAATCGTAACTAAACGATCCCAAGGTAGGTTGGTACGCAAATAGGATCGTCCGGTAACCGTCAAATCTCGGTTGGAACACATTTGAATTACTGCGCACAAGCGTGATCGTTCGGTGACGGTTCTGCGGCGGGTTGGAACAAACCTATTATATTCTTTCCAAAAAGTATTTAAAAAATACCTAATAAATGGATTCATAAAAACGAAACAACGTCCTCGAACGTGTGCCGAATTCGTGCGAAAGGCGTTTTTTTTTTGACAAAAAACTGAAGTCAATTGACAATAACCGCCAATTTATAAACAGGTCATTTAATACAATAGTAACAATAATCCTATATTAATCAAATAATAATAAGCAGGCAACAAAGTTTCTACCAGCAGCTCAAATACAAAAATATCGGAAGATTAATAAATGCAACATTTGTGTTGTTTTAAAATTGGACAAAAATATATATTAAATTCAGTTATTAATAAAATTGTCTATTTAGCACGGGAATTATAGTGGGGCCATCGGTAATTGACATTACTTATAATTCCCTTGATACCTAAATAACTATAATACCTTTAAAGTTACTTATAACAATGTTCTAATTATAATTTTTTGTCGTCAAATGCTGTGTTAATAACAGGGTTAATAATCATAAGTAACCAAAACATCCAATGTTAATGTCGTTGCGTAAGTCTATGCGTTGCGTGCTGCATCTTTTGCTTTTGCATCTTATGCGCAATTAGTGCGGCATAAACATTACCCCTCGTATTCTTTTGACAAAGTAATGCACGATTCTCATTATAGGTAACGTCACCGTGACGTCACTGCACCGTCTCCGAACCGGCAATATGATATAAATAAAGTGGACGTTACTAAGGCTGTATTCCGTTGCAAAACCAGGCGAACCAGACCGGTAAACTACGGTAAAGAGCGGTTCCTGAAAAACATCGGTTTGGTACGGAACAGTTTGGTAAAATACTGGAAATGTCAAATGTTGACGTTTTCTAAATTTCAATAACTTTATTATAAAATTTATCTTTAATGCATTTTTAATTAATTTACCTATTCTCTGCTTTTACGTTTGCTTCTTCTTTTCAATGGAGTTTAATATTGAAAAATATTTTATTAATGAACTGTTAAACTAGTTAGACAGCTCAAGTGAAGATTTACAGGTCCAATATTAAAATAGATTAATAATAAATAAAGAAATCTAGTCAATATTTATATTTTTATAGCTTACAAAACATTCACGATTACTTGTCTTGTTTCTCATGTTTTCTTAAATGTTCCTGACTACAATGGCTGCATAATAAGTTTAAATGGTCCTAAAAAGTAATTCATTTAGTTAATGAAATTGATTTACTTTTACTACCTACCTCCATTGCTTTTGGTTATAAATTCAAAATATTATTACAAATTTTAGAAATTAAATGAGAATTTCACTAGAGTAAACGCCACGAATGTTTGGGAGTGATTCATCGCTTGATGAAGTTAGAATCGACACGCGCGCCATCATTTTTTACATTAAAAACGTTAATTTTTACCGCAGACGTAGGTTTTTAAAGCCCGATCTAATCATCTGCCTGCGCTCCTCCTACCTATTCTAAAATGTTAGCGTGATTGACAAAGACGATACTATATCGCGTTTCTTTGATTGATTCGTTTTTGTGCGTCAGTCCATTGGTGTGTTTGCAGTGCGACTAATGGGGCTTTCCATTTTATATTTATCACCAAATATATGTTTTGACAAGACTTTGACAGTTAAAACAACAAATTACAACAGATTATATATTGATTATTATATGACTTGAAACACCACGGCACTGGAATTAAGTTTCATGTGACCTTGAACAGATTAGTTCACATGGTAGCGACCGATGAATCACTCCCAAACATTCGTGGCGTTTACTATACAACTTCCCAATATTTGCTTGATTTCTGTTACATAAATGACATTGATTGACGAACAAAACCAGAAAAACCAGCCTTCTCGCGCTGGTTAGTTTGGTGACAATTTATAAAGATATTTTTCAGGAACCGTGTTCCGTAATAAGAAAACTTTCAGGAAACCGATAGAAATGGAACATAAAACCATAACCCAGGTTAGCAACGGAATACACCCTAATAGTTTGTGGTAAGATCTACTTTGTTGACAATTTAAGAATATTTGCTGTGTCGTTGGCAGTACGGTAAAACAAAACCTAAACACCATCATCATTCTCAGCTTATTCAACTATTTCCATTTATGGTGTAGCACCTCACATATTTAGATAGTCTCTTTGTAGTTGGGCCCATTGTTGTCTATTGCTGGCTATGCGGGTCCAAGTTATCCCCACTAATTTTTGAATATCATGATCCCATCTCAGGTTTGCTATTCTTCTAGGTCTCTTAATTCCTCGTGGGTACCATGCTGTAAATTTTGTGGTCCGTCCCTCTTACCGGGTGTCCTGCTCATTGCCACTTGAGGGATTTGATTCTGTGGATGACACCTATTCCCTGGGTCTTTGATCGTATCCACTCTATTCTTTTACGGTATTTCTTGGTTATTCCCATTATATTTCGTTCCATTGAGCATTGTGAGACCTGCAGTTTCCTTATAATGACCATTTTAAGTGTTCAGGTTTCGCACGCATAAGGCAGAACTGGTAGTACACATTTGTCGATTGTTGTCTTCTTTAGATAAAGTGGCATTCTAGATTTGAATATGATTGAGTTTCCTGTATAAGTACTCCATGCTAACTTAATTCTTCTGTTGATTTCTGGTAGTAGAGATCCCGAGCTCTGTATAACTAATACACAGCTATGTATAATACAATATATGTATTCTTTTACTATTTCCTTTTTTGTTATTTAAAAAATAAAAATGCCAATATGAAATATTAAATAAATTTCCACATTTTTCTCGATAATTATAGAAATTGGAGAAAACATACATACTATACTGTGAATAACCATGTTTACATGATCAGTAGATTAAAACCCCATCCTCTTCATAACCACCCTGCCGACTTGTCTTATAGATATTTTATTTGTATGGATTTCCGTCTGCTTACCCAGATATTTCCTTATCCTCTGTTATGTAACAAGTCGGATTCTGACTGCCAGCATGTGTAGAGGCGCGAGAACAAGCGCCCAGATAAAACGCGGATACTAAAAAACATCTCTGATAGTAAATAAAATATGATTAAAACTAAAGAAATTAGCAGGTATATAAAACTACCACAATTTTGATGATAAAGATTTCGATGATATGATTCGTATGAAGAGGCAGTTGATTTGTCTAATTAACAATTTCAATAAAAATTGAATGTATGTATTCATATATATTTCTTTCTTTTCTAGTCGAGTGAATGTAACCCCAACGCATGCAAAAAGACAGACAATGAAAAGACGGTTTGTGGTTCAGACGGGTTGAGCTATCCTAATAGATGTCAGTTGGAACGCGTCAGGTGTCAAAATAAGAACATAACTATGGTGAAGAGAGGTCTGTGTAAACAACAAAGGCAGTGTTTGGAATGGGACCTGTTAGACTCAGAATTTCCACAGCATAGGTTCAAAGCAAGGTATAAATATGTATTATTTTAGGCAATAGACTTTATTATATTCAATTATGTAGATGTTCTTTCCAAAAGATTCCCATCTATTAATTGTCTAGTTTCCCAGAGACCATAAGCTCCTTACTAAGCTGAAGATCTATTGAAGCTGTTTTACTTTACCTTATTGGGTGTTAAATTTTTAAAACCTCTCACGGTTTAGGAGTCCCATGCCAAACATAGAAGATACTCTGTTATTTCTATTGCACTTGAACAGCAGCGTCATATGTTTTGCCAGATCAGCGGCTTTAACCTACAACTGCTAAAAGAATCTTCTAGGAGTTATTGGTTTAATCTCTTGTGTTTTAAAATCTTATAGAAGCTGAAAGTAACACTTTTTTGACTAAGTGAGGCAAATCTAATACTTCAATCACATATAAACAAATAGTTTCGGCTTTATTTTCTTCGGTTATTATTATTATAAAATATAAATAACTTTTATTAGGATAAATTTAACATATAATTAAGTTATAATTCAGTTTAACATACCAAACTTTAGAACAGAACTAGGGATCTTACATTATTTTGACTAACGAATTGATTCTTTACAGGTCTTACTTTATTATAAAGAGTCAAATGAAAGGTTCCTTTTAGATAGCCCATAAGTGCTGAAAGTGTAAAAATTCAAGAGAAAGTTATAATTTATTACTAATAGTATAGGTCACTAATTTTTAAAATGAGTACTTACGACTATATAAAACTCATTTTTGTTTATGAAGGATTAGTGAAGTACTGTTCAACTACTAAAAACTTTTACCTACTGCATTATACATACTGCTATTAGCGACTGTAAAACAAACACTTAAATAATGACATGTTGATTATACGAGAGAGCAAAAACGATATGTTCATACAAACAATGAACAATGATATATTCAACAAAGACATTAGTTATATAATATACTTATAATAACCTTAATTAAAATATATATTTTTAAAACCATTCTTATAAAGATATTAGATGGACTCAAAAGCTTACAAAATATACTATATACAGGGTGGCGCACCTCATTCGCCTCGGTTGATTATACGAAAACGGAAAGATGTAGAAACAAAATATTTTATGAGTATATGTGGGAAGGCAATGTGCATAATTTAAAATTATTTTGAAATGTACAGGGTGTGTCAGAAATAAGATCCATACCAAAGTTATATTTTTTCTTATGGAACACCAGGTATTTTATTTTATTTTTGGATTATTGGACATAAAATAAGGCATTTATTATAAGGGTTTAATATGTTTAAATGCTTTGGTTTTGGAGATATTTAAAGATTTTTAAATATGCATGCTATAATAAAACAGTTTGTCAACACCCTGTGCCTTAATTTTCAGAGTTAATTCTTGTGCTCACTTTGAAGCCAGAGAAAAAAACTTTACTAAAAAACTTTGCTGGTCTTTTTAAATATTTATTTTACATAAAAACTTCGTTATTTTAAATGCAACACTATGTATTTTTTTAAATAAGTCGAGGCAGATTTAAATGCTCTTTCAAACTATATTAGGGTTTCCTATACCTACCTAGCTCAGATTTTGAATAAAAAGCAAAAATCAATAAAATGGCAATCAAGAAGGCTGGTGTCGCCATGGAAATTTGCTAGTGACACTTAGTAGCTATTTTGAAAATCGACATTTGTTTATGGACTTTATTTAAATTTATAACAGTTTACTTTTATTTAATTTACCTAAATAAGTAAGTATTTATTATTTTATCAAGAAAAATAAAGCAGTAGTTCTTTTTGATTTATATTACGACTACTTGTAGTTATATGGGATTTTCTATAAAAGAACCAATTGAAGCAAATTCATGTTCCTCACTTCCAATGAGAGGTTTTTGCCTAATAGGTTTTTCATATACCACAATATCAGCTCTGCGAAATAGAAAAAGTAGTTTTTCAAGGAACGCTTGTCAAGAAAATTCCTATTTGTATATCTTTGAGCATAAACCCTTCCTGCCAAATAAAATATGTGTCCTCACAAAATGTTTGTGTGTTCTCACAAAATAAAATCATTAGTAACATATCCATTCCTTTCGCCAGCAGATACTGCTTCATTTTTCTTGATAATTATCAGATTATGAATTTATGTTTTTAATGTATATGAATGATACTATTATGATCTGATCACAATGATAATACCTTACTTCGCAATCTCCATTAAGTATCTTTCCTCTATTTTACACATAATTCACATCATTGGAATTTTGATATTGGTCAATATAAATCTAAAAATCTTAAAATATAAAATTAATCATAGAATTTGTATTGTTACTGTACCAAAGATACTGTTGCTACATTTACCTGAAATAGGAGAAAATCGAGTAGAATGATATCATAACTACATGCTGCTTTTGAAGATGCGCTAAAAGACCTTTATCAGTAGGAAAGGATACAAAGCAGCCTTCTAACATTTATAATGTATTTAACTGTCCTTTATACACAATTTCAGTGAAAAAGAGATTAGAAAAAACAAGGTTAGAAAAAATATAAAATAAATATAAATAGTATTTATAGAAATATGGCAACATCTTCTACCTGCGCATGCGTAGTATCAATGATGAAAGTCTCCCGATAGACACTTCTCGATATATCGTACCAAAGTTTATGGGATTAATAGCATAGCTGTCATCTCGGCATACTCAGTGATGAGCTTTCCCCATTTTCCCCACACAATCTGCATTCGCCGTTATTTCTTAGCTTCGATCTACTGAGCTGTGCATTGAGGAGATAATGTCATGTAAAAACCCCCTGAAAATCCGAAGATTGTTCTTACTTAAATTAAGGAATTTTTTTTTTCTTTCGTTCGTAAGTTCTGAGAAGTTGTTTCGAGTATTTTGGACGTTTGGGGGATTCCCATTTCAGGTTACAGATGGAGTCTTCCGGGTTCTTAAATTACGCTTTAAGTTGGTTTCCACTTGGGAAGCAGAACGGTTCTGGTCCAGTTTAGTTTGCTTTTTCATCACGTGGTGGGCTGGCACCCAGAGAAGGATTTATCTAGATTATCTTTGCCTAATGTGTTCAGCTTCTTTAGACGATCCACATAATGAAGAGATATATTTATTTTTAGCTTTATCCGGTCTATTCATAACCAACCTGCCGATATACGATACCAAATCAAACAACAAGTAGATATTCAGTTATTTTTAAGAAGTCGTCTTCTGAGCATTATTGATTCTTCGAATAAAAAACTTTATCCCACATAATTTGCACTCGCCGTTGTTTCTTATAGCCTCAATCTAATATTGCTGTTCGTTGAGGAGACAGTGTCTTTAATTTTTTACTGTCTTTTCTGAAAAATTTATTCGAGTGTCTTGGAGGATTTCCATTCCAGGTTACGGATGGAGTCTTCCAGGGTGCAATTGTTAATAATTCAATAATTGTTAAATGAATTAAAAGGATTTTAAATGAAAGTTTCTTAAAATCTGTTCATAAAAATCTTATTTCGGTACCAAACGCCTTTCCAAAATTCACTTGACACACCCTAGTTCCAAAATAAGATGAAAGCTTTTGGAATACTAATTATTGAACTATGCTATTGTTACATGTATTTCGTTGTGTTGACTAGGTTTAACGAGCTTATAAACACACTAATGATTTTACTTATATTGTAAATGTCCTTTTAGATGTAAACAAAATGGTGCTTATGAACCTGGACAATGCCATCCAACTACGGGCTTTTGTTGGTGCGTTACTCCAGATGGTATTCCAATTCCTTATTCGACAAAAAAGATGAACGAAAAACCAGGCAGTAAACCTATAAGGTATGTCATTTAATATAAAAAATATAATTAATAAATATCGAATTAATGACCCTAATAAAAGTTTTTGAATTCATGAAATGCTCTGTTTACCAAAAGTTTAAAAAAATATCCTTACTAATATTCGCATTCTATTCAACCTACTTATGTTATAATAAATAGCGTAATATATCGTTTTCTTACAAAATTAAACCAAGTAACTATGTTACAGATATTAACAGAGTGTTTTAATAAAATAAAAACTGTTACAGATATTAAAGATTGTGAGTTATTGTCCTTTTACCCGCCTTCAAAGGTTTTGCTTTGATATTAACAGAGTGTTTTAATAAAATAAAAAACACTCTTCTCAGATATTTTCAAATGGTTAGCCAATAGCAGTAATAGTAAAATCTTATGTAATACATAGTAAGAAATAATATAGTAAGCATATTGGTTTCTATATAGTATTTATATGAAGATATATACGATATACATCCTTATTATTCCCAATAAAAATGAACATTGGATTATTATTTTATTAGATTAAATTAGATTTTCTGAGGCAAATACTACTATGACCTTTATAGATCTATTGTGGTCCTCTTCTAATATCTATATTATATTCTCTAGTTATACGTTTCTCAAAAATTCTAATAACTTGAAGACTGAATCTTTTACAGGGTCCGTCAATAATGCGTCGGGCATCTCTAATCTCTAGCTCTCAAACTTCTACTAAAAAAAATTAAATTGAATCGGGGTGATTTTTTTTAATAGAACATCCTATATATTATTGCATTTTAGGCTTCCCTTCTGATCACTTTACATGGTCCTAAGATATTATTTAATTTGCTTTTATAGTTTCAAAGATATAAATAAATAAATGAAAAAAATATATACTTCAGCCTTTATTAAAAAAATTATTAAAAATATAGGTTCATTAGATTGTTGTTAAAATATAAATTTATTAATTTGTTAATATATTTTTATTAGATGGAGAATTTAAAAATTAACATTTTTTGTATTTAAAGTATTTCAAAAATTTTAACGATTTCGCAGATATTCGCGGTATTATTACATATGGCTCTTTCAACTGTAAAATACCAGAGAAAAATCTTTGGGTTCTTTGATAACAATTTACTGTGGAAAATTCCATATGTACTATATTACCGCGAATATCTGCGAAACCGTAAAGAATAATATACAGGGTGTTCCATTTAAAAAAAAATTAAGAAATATTTCTTTATATTTTAGAAAGTTTGGCCTAGAATTTTGAACACCCTGTATGATTTAAGTTTGCGTAATTTGCACCTAAGTTAAGTACCATCTTTAGTAAATACCACAGATGCTTTTGATTTCAGGACAGTTCAAGAACGACTAAAAAATTAATATTTTTTATTTATTTATCTCTGAAACTATCGATTATGTAATGTGATCAGCAAAGAAGCCAAAAATGTAATAATATACAGGATGTTCCATTAAAAAAAATCATCTCGATCCACTCTCACATTTTTAAGCCACCCCGTAGAAGTTAAAATATTTTCCTGAAATACATCCCTGTACATATTTAGGTATGCGCTTAAACTAAATTCCCAAGTTTTTTATTTTAGGAGCTATAGATGCCCGACGCACTATTGCCGTACCCTGTATATTATTTTGTACCATTTTTGTATTATTTTTACATCAAGTTCTGGACCTATGAATAACATTGTTGAGCCCTGTTTCTCCATTTAATGTGCCTTTTCCATTTTCTTTATTTATTTTGACTTACACAGGGTTTCGGTCAGATAAATAACTGACCGTTATCAAGTATAAACTAATCTATTTCCTGTAGTATTAAAGCTCATTAGTAGAAAATGGAGGTGCAATATTGTTTTAGTTACAATACTGAATTGTCTACCAGATTCAAAGAGATTAAGGAAGAAATAGTACATTTAATGTACTCTGCAACTTTTTCTGATTATTCTTCAGTTCTTATTTATTGCTCTTAGGTGTCGAAGCAGAAAGAAAAAAACAAGATCGCCCAGCAACACCAAGAAGAACATCTGCAGGATGAGCGAAAAGTCTCTTTTCAACAACAACCTTATCAAAAGCTTTCACTCCGAATATCATCGAGACGCAGGCCGAAATGATAACGACGACATGGTGATAAAGTGGAAATTTCGTACGTTAGATCAGAACAACGACATGATACTGGACAAGAACGAATACAGAGACATCAAACGGCTGGTGAAGAAAGCGATGAAGCCGAAGAAGTGCGCCAAAGCTTTTCCTAAGTCCTGCGACATCAACAACGACCTGAGGATCACATCACAGGAATGGAACGACTGCTTCGATAAAAATGGACAGACAGGTAAATATTATTTGTTGTTCAATGTTGTAGACGGCTTTTATTTCTTTTAGTTAGTTTAGGTATTAAAAAGAGTATACCTGTCATTAGCGTTAATTATCTATTGGGTTAAAAAGTGTTTTCATATTTGTACATAGATATAAATAAAATGAAGTATATGTGTATATCTACGAAGTAAAGAGCTCGATTTGTGCAATAATCTACACTCAGATGCAAAAAAAACGCAACGGAGAAAATTTTGGTCATATTTAAACTGTTATATTTTTATTATTTTTAGCCCTATTTTCATGAATTTTTTAGCAAGCTGTATAAATATAATTATATCAACTTTAATTTGTAAACTCAGTTTTTTTATAAACTTTAGTTTTTGGCGTATTATACAGGGTTAATCGAGAGGTTATTTTTTACCCTAACTTTGACACACCCTGTGCAATAATTTCATTTGTAAATTTTCCTGAAATATAATTTTAGAGTCAGAACCATGTCTCCTGAGCATTTTATCAATACATTCCTTGGTTAATTTTTACGAGCGAAATGAACTTGCCACCAACAATTTGCAATTATTTCAATTATAACTTATTTTTGAAGTTTTTTTTTCAATATGACAAGGCAGCTTTGGTGATTATTGTGAATTACATACTACTATGAACTGATCATCATGTTCGACGTTTGGGAAATGCTTGGCAGGAGGGTTAGAGGTCGTGAAGCGGTTACCAGCTTCATTAAATGAACTTCACTTGGCCCTTAAAGAAGAATGGGAAAACATAACGCAATATGATATATGCAGCCTCAATGGCAGTATGAACAAACGTATACAATAAACAAAAGATGTTATCGTGGGGACTATTAAAAAAGAAGAATGAAATTATTGGGCAACCTACAGTAAGATTAGCCATGAAACATGGCTAAAATACAACTACCCGTAGACACTCAGTGTTTCTGCCTTCCGGCTTCATCACTACGGGAGGAATCAGCAACGATGAACTAGCGATCCTGAAAAAAGAAAAAGGGGAAGCAAACGAGGCACTAGGCAACATTTGCAACCTGGTTAAGCAGTAGCTCACAATTCGCAAGCGTTACTACCAAAAAACCGCTGCGGAGGTACTTCCCCTTTTTCTTTTTTCAGGATTGCTAGTTGATCGTTGCTGATTCCTCCCGTATTGATGAAGCCGGAAGGCAGAAACACTGAGTGTCTACGGGTAGTTGTATTTTAGCCATGTTTCATGGCTAATCTTACTGTAGGTTGCCCAATAATTTCATTCTTCTTTTTTATTATAGTCCCCACGATAACATCTTTTGTTTATTGTTTTCTCTGGGCCAAGGTGATAGCGGCGAGGTATGTTGAAGTACCTCCGCAGCGGTTTTTTGGTAGTAACGCTTGCGAATTGTGAGCTACTGCTTAACAAACGCATACAGGCAGTTATACCAGCCAGGGGATTCAATACAAAGTATTAGAGAATTTTTTACAATTTCTGTTTGTATACTTCAGTATTACATGTTTTCCTTAAAATCGTTAGTTCTGTTATCGTTATTAATGTTTATTAAAACCAGGCCTGTGTGTATCGTTAGTATTTAAAGCTTTTTTAATTCAGTATAGAGTATCCGATGCAGCCGTAATATGGCGACAATAGTCACCAAAACCATCTCGTCTTTTTAAAAAATTACATCAAAGGTAATGATAACTGAAAAAATTGCAAATTGATCGTGATCAGTTCATTTCGCTCTTAAAAATTAACCAAAGCATGCATTCACGTATCCAAAAAACGAAATGCTCAAGAGACATGGTTCTTATCTTACCGTCAAATTATATTTTAGGAAAATTTACACACGAAATTATTGCACAGGGTGTTTTAAAGTTACGATAATAAAACAACCCCTCGATTAGCCCTGTATAATATGTCAATTACTAAAGTTTACAAAAAACTGAGTTTACGAATTAAAGTTGATATAATTATGTACAGTTTGCTAAAAAATTCATGCAAATAGGGCTAAAAATAACAAAAATATAACACTTTAAATTTGACCAAAAATTATTTCTCTGTTGCGTTTTTTTTGCATCTGAGTGTATAAGATCATGTATGTAAATTATAATATGATGAGAGCCAAGTTGAAATTCTGAAAATGCAATATGTAAAATAAAAAAAAACGAAAATGTAAGAACCTAGTCAAAAAGATATTTACGCGTAATCGGATTAACGCGAGGTTTCTAACAGGACACTGTCTCCTCAATGAACACCTCAGTAGATTGAAACTGAGAAACAAGGGCGAATGCAGATTTTGTGGGGAAAATAGGGAAACACCATAACACTTTATCACTGAGTGCGCCGAAACGGCAACCGTTCGTGCCATAAACTTTGGTACCACTAATGTCGAAGATGGAGAGCTGGCCTCTGTGGAGTCGTCTCAGATACTGTCTTTTGTCAAAGCCCTAAGACTGTATGATGAGTTATAACTCAAGAAAGGGGAACACGCAATAGATCTGTAAGATCACGGTGATTAACCCCCCTCCTAAACATTCTACATTCTATGCCTAATAATATATTATACGAATACTACACAGCCCTGCGATAACATAAAGTACCTGTAACAGTATTTGTTTGCAATTGCAATTTGTAGAAGCTCGTCTTCAGTGGTCAGAAGGCGTTGGCACCACAGTGATTCTGTCATGGGTCGTTTAATTTATGATGGTTCAGTAGTTAATACTAGTATTTAAGGAATAGTGATATCAGTTTAGTTCTTACCGATAACGACTAGTGATACATACAAGCCGAACATTTTAAGTAAATTACAATAAAAAAATGACACAGTTGGGGGTTGGAACCTTTGGTGTTACAACGGCAAAATGAAAACACTAGTCAAATAAAACGTGTTTTAATCATCTGCTGATGCTAACATGGTTAGCGAAACACGCGTCCAGTACAAAAGTAAAGTGCTTTGGTCAGGGGTGGATGGGCCATATGGGAAAGCGGGAAAATTCCCGGTGGGCCGGTGGAAAGATGGGCCGGTCCCGATCAGAGCTCAAAAAAGATTGGATTAGCAAATTAAATGGTTAATCTTCTAACTAAAGTGATATAAGATCCTTAGTGATCCATAACTAATTAATCAATTTGCATCAGTATAATCGTCAGTTGCTTTTACACATAAACACCAATTTGTAAGATAACTATTGTAAAATTTCTTTCTCTGGGACATTTATAATTTTAATAATCATCTGTTGTTTGTTCGGTTTGAAAATTTTTATTATACAAGATGAGTTTATAAGTGCAAATATTTTCAAGGCTGGTAGATCTCAATAAAATAAACATAACATATTCTCTTTATCCAGTTTCAAATAAGTCCAGTCGAGTTATTAAGTCCGGAAATTAAAAAAAAAATAGATTTATTTTTAAAAAAAAATTGAGCCACCCCAATTTTTCGGCATTTGCATCTCTTTTAGTACCGTAATATCAGAGATTAAGAAACTAAACCGTGGGAGAAAATTTGCGGTGAACAGGAATTTCTAAAAAGTTTTCTAAAATATAAAGGAAAGTTTAAAAGAAAATGCTCGATTTTTAACATCTTTTTTACAAAAAAAATCTCTTAGACGTGTTCCTGGGGTCGAAATATACCACCCCTGAAAATATTTGCACTTATTTAAGACTCACCCTGTATAGTTTTACCCACTATTCTTTTATTAAAACTAATAAATATGACTGACTGGCAGCAAAAAAAAAAGAATGAATAGAATTAGGTAAATTTAAATAGTCTCGATCTAAATGTATACTAAGAATACGGTAGCGTAGATTGACAACTGGGGTGAGCGGTGCCTCGGTGCAATATTTTTCGAGCTCCCCTTTGTAAAAAGGTAGACGAATTTGACGCGAACTCTGCGGTTGACGGAGAAAACATATCTATGGTTGGCTTGAATTGGGGACGGACTAAAAGCCAAGTTTGACATCTAAAAGCTAAGTCTAAATTGTTGTTTAAAATGTTGCTAAAATGAATTTTCTAAGAAATTACTGAGACAGCAGAGAAGAGTTAAATAAGGTTTAAACTAGATTAGATAATAAAATATTAATATGTCTCGAAAATCCAAATGTTCTTTATTATGGACTGTAACATAGCATTACATCAGAACACATTTATATCCACTGCCTAGGTATTGCCTAGGGTTTTTTAGTTTGATTCATGGCATTATCATACAAGATGCCAAATGTAGAAAATTATAGAGGAAAAGTTTCGTGATAAGAACTATACAATAACCTAAAAAATGCTGCAGTTTTAATGGCGACCGCGGTTCATTCAGTTAAAAATACGTGTACACGAGGAGGTTGCTGCTGTAGCAGAAAAGAGAGAATTTCTTTTTACAATGTGTAAGAAAGTATATATCCGAAAAGCTAAAAGTAATGTATTTCACAGAGGATTGGGTCAGCTGAGCTGACTGAATCAGGAAGTCTTAAAGTTTCTCAAAATCGTGACTCAAAATCGTAGCCTATTCAAGATCAAATTACCGTTAACGATAATGGAAATAAAGCAGTAGTACCCTGTAAAACTGAGCCATTTTGTAGTAAAATTTCAGATGTCCGACCCAACACTGGTCTTTACGAAAATTTTGATCATTACAATTTTTTTTAAACCGGAGGCAAAAGAGCTTTTTCGCACGAACGAAAAACATCCTTACTTATATATTAATAAATAAAATATATGTTTCTTCGTTATGGTCATTTTGTTTTTGTAGATTTGGGCCGGTTGCCTGTTTTTCCCGGGCCGGTTTCCACTTCCCCATCCACCCCTGGCTTTGGTGTATTGCGGTGAATTAATGTTTTTATTTTGCAAAACAATGTCAGTCTAAAAAGATATATTTTATTTCATAATTCACACAATTGTAGTGTGCTACTGCTTTTCAACATACATATTAATGTATTTATCAGAAAAAAATCAATCGGCAGTAAACAATTCATTTAGCATAATATAAAAATTTAAAATAAAATATTTTTCCCAACAAAAATGATGTATCATTAAAC